AAGAAGAAAGAAAGAAAGAAAGAGAGAGAGAGAGACAAACAAGGAAGACGAAATAATTAGAGAGCGAAATGAGAGGAGCAAACGGAAAAGAAGAAGTTGAAAGGAAGGAGGAGGAGGCTGGGGGAGGGGGAGAGGTGAGCGGAAGAGGGAGAGAGAGAGGAAGAGGGGGAGGGGAAGGAGGAGGGGACAGGTTGGGTTGAGGCGGAAGAGGAGGGAGATTAAGGGGAGAAAGACAAAGAGCGCCCGCCATCTGAAAAGCGGCATCCAAGGACTCGTATCACGGGCGAGGGGTAGGAGGGGATGGGGGAGGAGAGGGAAAGAGGGAGAGAAGAAGAGGAAGAAGGGGAGAAGCGAAGAAAGGAGAGGAGGAGGAGGAGGAAGGAGAGGTAGGAGGGAGGGGGGGGAGGAGGGGAAGAGGGAGAGAAGAGAGGAAGAAGGGGAGAGGTGAAGAAAGTGAGAGGGAGGAGGGAAGGAGTGAGGGAGGGAAGAGGGAGAGAGGGAGAGAAGAGAGGAAGAAGGCGGAGAGGAGAAGAAAGAAGAGGAAGAGGGGAAGAGGACAGGAGAGTGGGAAGGGGGAGGGGAAGGGGAGGCGAAAAGTGAGGGGAGGAGAAAGGGAAGAGGAGAGGAGGCGGGAGGAGAGGAGGAGGGGAGGGGAAACGGAGGGGGGGGGGCGCTTTAGAGAAAGTCATAAGCATTGCATGGAAAAAAGAGTGGGAGCTACGAAAAGAACCAAAGAGGAGCAGAGGACACAAGGGTCGTGTTGTGTAAGAATGCATGTATTATGTTGTATGTATGATGTATGTATGATGTATGTGTGCATGTATGTATGTAAAGTTGTGTGTTGTTGTTTGTATGTTTGTATGTTTGTATGTATGTTAGTTTGTTGTATGATGTATGTATGTATGTATGTATGTATGTATGTTTGTATGTATGTATGTATATATATTTTTATGTAGGTATGTATGCGTGTGGCGTGTGTATGTGCGTAGTGCGCGCGTGCGGGAGTGCGGTGCGTGTAGTGTGTGTGCGTATGTGTGTATGCGTAGTGTGTGTGTCCTGCGTGTCCCGTGCGTCTTCGTGAACGTGTCCGTGTGTGGGCGTGTGCATCTGCATGGAACCCCGACAAAAGGGAGGAACAGAATTAGGTAAGGAAAGCGAGGAAAGGCAAAACCTTGACTAAGCGAAGAGGATATAGAACAGGGGAAAAGAGATAGAGAACCACGATGGACAGGCCCGAGGGGAAATAAAGGGGAAGGACACAGGTAGACTGGCGAAGAGAGGAGACGAGGCGAGAGAATAAGGAAGTACAGTGAGGAAATTCATGAATCGCTGTAAAAGGCGAGATGTTGAACTTCACGTGGGACGAGGGGGGCGGGAGAGGTGGAGAGAGGGGAGGGAGGGAGAGGGAGAGAGGGAGAGGGAGGGAGAGGGAGAGGGAGGTGAGAGGGGTGAGGGTGGAGAGAGAGAGGAAGTAGGGAGAGGGAGAGAGGGGAGGGAGGGAGGGAGGAGGGAGGAGAGGGATCGAGGGAGAGGCAGATGAAGGAGGGCTACGACGGAGAGAGGGAGAGTGAGGGTGAGAGTGAGAGAGAGAGGAGAGAGGGGAGGGATGGAGAGAGAGAGGAAGAGGGAGAGGGAGAGGGAAGAAGGGGGGAGGCGAGGGAGGGAGGGAAGGGAGAGGGAGAGGAAGGGAGAAGAAAGGGAGGAAGGGAGAGGGAAAGAGAGAGAAAGGTGAGGAGACTGAAGGAAGGAGAGAGGAGGGAGGAAAATGATGAATGGATGGATGAATAGTTAGATAGATAGATGGATAGATAGATAGATAGATGGATGGATGGGTGGATGGTTGAATGAATGAATAGATGGATGGATGGATAGTTAGATGATAGGATAGAAAGAGATGGATAGATGGTTTGGGTGGAGGGAGAGGGAAAGAGAGAAGAAAGGTGATGGACTGTGTGAAGAAGGAAGGGCAGAGGAGAAAGAGGGACGGGAGGGAAGGTGAATGGATGGATGAATAGTTAGATAGAAGATTGGATAGATAGATTAAGATAGAATGGATGGATGGGTGTGATGGTTGAATGAATGAATAGTGGATGGATGGATAGTTATATAGATGGATTAGACAAATTGAATTGGAAATAGATGGTTGGGTGGAGGAGAGGGAAAGAGAGAGAGAGAGAGAGGAAGAGAGAGAGTAGAAGAGAAGAGATGCAGAGAGAGAGAGAGAGGAGAGAGAGAGAGAGAGAGAGAGAGAGAGAGAGAGAAGAGCGCGAGAGAGAGAGAGAGAGGAAGAGAGAGAGAGAGAGAGAGAAGGAGAGAGAGAAGAAGAGGAGAGAGAGAGAGAGAGAGAGAGAGAGTAAAGAAAGAGAAAGAGGAGAGAGAGAGAAGAGAGAAGAGCGAGAGAGAGAGAAGGAGGAGAGGAGAGAGAGAGAGAGAGAGAGAGAGAGAGAAAGAACTAGCAGAGGAGAGATGAGAGAGAGAGAGGAGAGGAGAGAGGAGAGATAGAGAAGAGATAGAGAGGAGGAGAGAGAGAGAGAGAGCAAGAGAGAGAGAGAGATAAGAGAGAGGAGGAGAGGAGAGGAGAGAGGAGAAGATGGAGGAGATGGAGAGAGAGAGAGAGAGGAGAGAGAGAGGGAAAGAGAGCGAGAGAGAGAGAGAGGCGGAAGAGAGAGGAGAGAGAGAGAAGAGGGAGGTGAGGAGAGAGAGAGAGAGAGAGAAGAAAGAAGAGAAAGTGAGAGAGAGAGAAGAGAAAAGAGAGGAGAGAGAGAGAGATTGAGAGAGAGGGAGTGGGAGGAAGGGGAGAGTAGAGAGAGAGAGAGAGAGAGAGAGAGCGAAAGAGAGCAGTAGAGGAGAGCGAGAGAGAGAGAGAGGAGAGAGAGAGAGAGTAGAGAGGAGCGGAGAGAGAGAGAGAGAGGAGAGGCGAGAGGAGAGAGAGAGAGGAGAGAGAAGAGAGAGAGAGAGAAGAGAAGAGGGAGAGAGATAGAGAGCGGGAGAGGGAGGGATGAGAGAGAGAGAGAGAGAGAGTACAGTCTAAGTTTATTCAATTCCTTTTTTCAATGCTTCACCGCTCTCGTATGTTACCAGTTGCTTCCCAAGTACCATCCGCACCTGAAACAGAAAAAAAAGTCTTAAATGACAAAAAAACTGTAAAGCTATACCCAATTAAAACTATATAAGTAAATGATACACACAGATAGAAATGCACACACACACACACACACACACACACACACACACATACACACATATATATAGATATATATTATATATATAATATATATATAATATATAATAATAGATATATATATAATATATATATATTGTAGCCGCTGTTATTAACATCGGCATGGCGTACCCGCTGGCATTCGCATCACGTGTATACATCGTAGCCAATGCCATCAGCATCGGCATGGCGGTATTCTGCTGGCTAGCATCACGGGTTAATCATCCCCTCTAGGACTTGGTTGACGGTTTCTTCATGGGTTGCGATAAGGATAATGCCATGGCCGTGTTCCTCCATGTGTTTGTATGTGATGAATTAGGCCTTGTCCCTAGTGTTGACGTATAAATGAAGGAAGGGCGTCTCACGAAAGGGGGGCCATCACAGGTTATAGAACAGTTTGAGAGTGAATACTGGCTCGACAACACGTACATAAGGACCGATCTGTGGACTTCTGTTAAAGGCCTTGACTGTTCCCGCTATGCGTATGTATCATACACATTCATGTATAGATATACATTAGTGTCAGTGTATGTTGTTGATTACCTAAAGCAGTAGGGTATAATGACATTCTCAGCAAACAGTAAAATGTATGTATGTATTATAACTACTGATATGATCTTGTTAGTGAATCTAAGTCGAATTGTAACAGCAATTATGATTATTATTGCATGATTGATATTGTATTGATTATGTATTGATTACAGGTTTGACCGCATTCAAATAAATTGAGAAGCGAGTACGACGCAGTGGTATCAGTCACCTCGAGTTAACGCAAATAATCTAAGCGCGTGAAATGGCGCTTACAGTCAAACGCAAAGGGAGATCGTTGCTGTTACTTTGCCGTGACGATAAAGAGACGGACGGAAGGAGCGAACTGCGGTAAGTCTACGGAAGTGCACGGTGTTTGACGGGCGATTATTATGTGACAGAAACGTCATAGCTGTGTACGAGTGTACGGATCGAACATATGATCAAGCTAATTTGTGATTAGTTTTTTGGTGAAGAGTAACAAAGTTTTGAGGGACGCAGAGGGAGATCATTGCTGTTACGTTGCCGTGACGATAAAGAGACGGGCGGAAGGAGCGAACTGCGCTAAGTCTACGGAAGTGACACGGTGTTTGACGGGCGATTATTGTGAGGCAAAAACATTATGGCTGTGAACGAGTGCACGAATCGAACATATGACCAAGCCTATTTATGATTAGTTTTCGGAGAAAAGTAACAAAGATTTGAGGATGGCTATTTATGATTAGCGAATCCGGGAAACTGTTTCTGCACACTAAGGGAGTGAAATGCTTGAATTTGATGCAATATGTCATGGAGGAAGTTTCTTGTTAGTGACATTAGCGACCATGGCCCTCGTGCACGCAAGTGCTCGTGTTTAGGAGAAAGGTGAAATAGGTAAACTGAATGAATGAGCGAAAAATAACCTATAAGTCGGAGCTGAATCAAAGAAACGGAGTAGTTGGAAAGAAGCAACACTGGTTTCCCGCCCATTACATGTTATTATTTGGATTTTTAAAGGTGATGCAAAGGGTAACTAACTCTGGAGATCATAGCAAGCCTCAAGAATTAATCGGTACTACTTCTCACAGAGACCTTTTGATGAAAATATAAAACTGAAGATGCTAAAATGAAAGAATGTGAGATAATGTGGAAAGAGGAAACGGAGATATTAGAGTATGAGAGAGAGGCAGTTAATCAAAAATGAAAGGGATGTAGCTCACGCTAGACTTGGGATGGCAAAGAAAATTAGAAGGGGATTAGGTCCCAAAAGTAGAGTGAGTTCTTACGATCAAGAGATATCTCAAGTTCCGAGGTTTGAAGGGTTTAGTAATCCTTATGATTCCAGGCGATATGGCTTACGTGACAACGGAACATATGATGAAAACAAATACCAAGGCCGGAGTATAAATGCCTGTGAATATGGAGACCTTCCAGATATGCCCAATTTGAATTTCATAGCAAAAATGGACTCGTTCGTCAAAGAAATGCAAAAAAAAACAATATGGATATTGGGCCATTTGATGGTAACTCTCTTGACTTCAATAGATTTATGAGACGGTTTCGAACAAAGGTGCTAAACTACTGCACTTCCTATGATGAACGTTTAAGCTACTTAGAACCATTTACCACAGGGGAAGCAAGAGAAAGAATACAAGAATTTACGAGCACGAATCCAGAAAGGGGGTATGAGGCAGCCTTGAAAGAACTTGAGGATTGTTATGGGAATGATGACGTTATGGCCCGGGCTTAGATCAAGAAGGCTCTGGATTGGCCAGTAATCAAGGGAAATGATGTTGGAGCTCTTGACAAATTTTCCATGTTTCTCGCAGGATGTGAGTGTGATATATTAAGTATGGATTCAGTTAAAACTTTAGGAAGCCCAGATAACATGAGAAAACTTGTTATGAAATTGCCATACAAGATGCAAGAAAGGTGGTGTGCAATTGTCTGTGAGAAAGGTGATGCCTCTAAGCCTATAGTATTTTCAGACTTGGCAGAATTCGTTTCAGGGGAAGCCAAGAAAGCCAGGCATCCCATCTATGGTATAGAGCAACTAAACGAGGGTAAAATTAATAACCCTATGATGAGACAAGCATTTGCTACGCAAGTCCAAGAAAGGAATTTGAGAGAAGTAGTGATGAAGACTACGAAAATGGGTGTCATCAATGTAAGGGAAATCATAGGCTACTTAACTGTAAAAGGATTAAGGAATTTGAATATGAAAGGAAAGTTGAGCTAATAAGGGAAAAGAAATTGTGCTTCTCATGCTTGAGAACTGGTCGTGGTAATGTTTCAAGAAGGAAATTTGCCTTGGGTGCAGTGAAGAACAACCCACAGTAATGCATGTGGAGAGAATGTTTGATGAGGTTAACAAATACACCACTACAGGAGGAAATTGGGAATCTAAGGGCTGAATTCGAGAAATTAAAAATTGAAAAGATGACATTGCAAAGGAAGTCTGAGCAACAAGAAGTTCAAAATCCCAAAGAGGTGGTAAACATGAATGCAGAAGCTTGCCATACATTGTCAGAAGGAACAGACAAAATGGCCGCCTTAGCAATCACATCAGGGAAAGTAAAATGGAAGAATAGTCACAAAACCACACAGACACTGGCATTCTTAGATCCGGGTTCAACTACACCTATTTGTTCAGAGAAACTAATGAATGAGCTGGAGTGTAAGGGAAAGGGAATCACATGCAACTTGGAGACCCTTAATGGGAAAAGGAAGGTGAGCTCTACGGTACTGAAGGATCTACAAATTGGTGCCTTGGCAGGAAGCGATTCGGTAGACTTATAAAATGTTAATTCTCGGTACAATATAAATATTTGCAGAGGGTTTAGGTCTTCAAGGGAAGGCTTAAAAAAGAGGCCACATTTAAAGGACATAGAGATTCCACAATCCGATGGAGAAGTGAATCCGTTGGTCGGAAACAATAACCTAGAAGCATATAGACCATTCGAAATTGTATCAGGAGAGGAATACTGCCCAATTGCTGCCTAAACAAGAATAGGTTGGGTAATATGGGGTCTACTGAAGTGACAGGGAGAGGATCTTGTAACATCTTACAAAACTGGTACGGCAGAACTTAGTAAGAACGAAGAACGAAAAGGGCTCGACCATTTGGTAAGAGAACTAATCAACATGGAGTTCCCAGAACTGATAATAGATGATAAAGGGGAAAATTCATTAAAGGATAAGTTGTTTTTAAGTAAAGTTCAAGATTCAATGAAACTTGTGGATGGCAACTACGAGATGGAGTTACCATTCAATGACGAAGAGGTGAAGATTCCAAATAATCAGAATTATGCAAAATTAAGACTGCAGCATCTTGAAAACATGTTCAGCAAAATCCAAGGATTTGCTTAAGAATATGCAGATTTTATGGCAAAATTAAATGACAATGGATACGTTGAACAAGGGCCTGAATCAGAGATAAGCAGAAATGACGGAAAGGTATGGTACATTCCTCACCATGGAGTATACCACCCAAGAACAGCGAAGTTGAGAGTGGTCTTTGATTGCTCAGCTAAGTACTTAGATGACTCATTGAATGATCATTTACTTCACGGTCCAAATCTAGCTACCAAGCTTCACATGTTACTCAGATTTAGAAAGGAACCTGTAGCCATCATGGGTGACATTGAGTGTGTTTTATCAAGTTGAAGTTCCTGAGAAGCATAAGGATTTCTTACGTTTCTGTTGGTGGCCAAAGAGTGACTCGAACATAGAACCTAAAGTGTTTAGAATGACTGTACATTGGTTCGGTACAATATCTAGCCCAGCCTGTGCTAATATGGCTTTGAGACAAGTCGTAATAGACAGTCAGGGGCTTTGTGATGATGAGGTAATGAAATGTATTAGTGAATACTTCTATGTTGATGATTGCTTGAAATCTGTACCAACGCCAAAAGGAGCTATTGATATGATCATGGATTTAAAAGATTTATGCAAAAGGGGAAAATTTAATCTAAGAGACTGCATCAGTAACAGCAAGGATATACTGGAATCAATTCCAGTAGAAGATTGCAAACATCAAATGGACACATTAGGTCTAGATATACAGACAGAGTTCCACGAGATGTAATTTGGAGGAGCCTCAGACTGAAAGGAGAGCCTGAGTATATTGTTAGGAGCATACCGTTATGAGTATATTGTTAGAGGGTTGGAGAGAAAAGTTAGAGGATAGAGGACGCAGGATCAGCAGACTGAAGACGGAATGCATGAAATGCCACTTCGGAGAGGAGGATGAGCAGGAGGTGGATTTGGAAATAGACCTAGAGGTACTCAGAGAGACTGATATCTTCACGTACCTAGGGTCTATGGTGTAGCATGATGGAGGGATGGAAGCAGAGATTACAAATAGGATACAAAGTGGATGGAGGAATTGGAGGAAGTGTGTTGGAGTAATGACAGATAAGAGAATGAGCATGAGGCTAAAGAGAAGGATCTACACTAGTGTAATAAGACCCGCACTCACCTAGGGAGCAGAGACCTGGGCAACCACCAAGAGAGAAGAGGAGCGCCTGGACGTGAACGAAATGAGAATGCTGCGATGGACTCGCGGGGTGACAATAAGGGACAGAGTGTCTAACCGCCACTTTAGAGAATCTCTACACGTCACTGAGGTGGCCAGGAAGTGAAAGAGAGATTAGTTTTTGGTTTGGACATGTCGAGCAAAGAGAGGAGGAGCACTGCCTGAAGCGTGTGTCAGCAGGAAGAGGGGTCCCCGGAAGAAGAGGGGTGGGAGGACCAAGGATGAGATGGAAGGATTGTGTGAGCTGGGATATGAAGGAAGCAGGATTGAACAGAGAGATGGTCCAGGATAGAAACAACTAAAGTCGTCAATTGAGGGACTATTTCAGCGAACCCGTATAGTCGGGAAAAGCTTGTAGAAGAACATCTAGATATGCAGAATTTGCCCACAGAGGGGGCTCTTGGACTCGTGTGGTCGGTCACCACAGATAGCTTCGAGTTCAAAATAAATATAAGAGATAGAGAGGAAAATGGAAGAGGAACGCTGTCAATGGTTGGTTCCTAGTGCGACCCCTTGTACAGAAGGGGACTGATGTGGATGGGCCCATGCCTGATGGGGAATCAAAGGAGTATGGGAAATGGATAAAACCATAGATTCCCTGGAGAATACTAAGGTTCCAGGATGCTCAAGGAAAGTGCAAGCTGAAGGTGCTTATGTACAATTACATTGTTCGCTGATGCAAGCTATAGTGGGTA